CCAAAGACACCTGAAGAAAGAGAACGGATGAGTCATATACCTTATGCATCAGCTATTGGTAGCATTATGCATGCAATGTTATGTACAAGACCTGATGTGGCTCATGCACTTAGTGTAACGAGCAGATATCAGTCTAATCCAGGTGAAGAACACTGGAAAGCCGTTAAGATGATTCTTAAGTACTTACGAAGGACTAAGGATATCTTTATGGTATACGGCAATGGAGAACTGAAACTAGAAGGCTTTACTGATTCTGGTTTTCAGTCCGATAAAGACGACTATAAATCCATGTCTGGATACTTATTTACTCTGAATGGAGCAGCAGTTAGTTGGAAAAGTTCCAAACAAGAAACAATTGCTGACTCTACGACAGAGGCTGAATATATTGCTGCATCTGATGCTGCAAAAGAAGCTGTTTGGATAAGGAACTTTATCCAAGGGTTGGGTGTAGTACCATCCGTTGTTGATCCAATAATGATTTATTGTGATAACAATGGGGCTATTGCGCAAGCAAAGGAGCCAAGATCTCATCAAAAATCCAAACACATTATGAGGCGATACCATTTGATTAGAGAAATCATTGGTAGAGGCGATGTCGTGATGGAGCGAGTCGACTCAGCAGAAAATATAGCAGACCCCTTAACTAAACCCTTATCACAGAAAGTGTTCGAAGGACATCTTGAGAAGATGGGTCTTAGATACATGAGTGATTGGAACTAGGGCAAGTGGGAGATTGTTAGAGTAGGGTACCCGGCGTTCCAATCTAATTGGACGTATTCTACTTGTAAATACAGTCTATTGGAATTATATTATGAATAAGGCATTTCTTTATCTTAAGAGAAAGCATTTATCTTATAATTGCACTTAAGATAAAATCCCTAGATCACTTATGGTTATAAGGTATGGTTGCGCATAGAGATGGTGATCATGGAACATACCTTGAAAGCCGTGATCTTAAATACAGTTCCAAGTCGATGGATGTTTCGAGATGGGATATCGAATAATCCATAAAAGACTTGCACATAGTATGTATGCTTGTTGGACAAGAATGTTGCATTCCATCAACATTAGCGTATGACGCAAGTACATTTATGTGGGTGCTTGTTAGAGAACAAGTTCACTGAACATGACCGTATGAAAATTCTTAATGAAGAATTTATTCAGTCGAATAAGAATTTTCATGTTACAATAGTACATGACTAATCCTTAGACTTGAGGCACAATGGTAACTTTGTGCATATTACATTCTACTTTGATTTATCCTTTTGGTAGCTAGCACTATCGTATAAAGGGATATTTTGGGTATTATGTTAATATGTATGGAAGTTTGTTAGTGGCCAACAAAGGATTCGACACTTATGAAGATAAGTGAATTTCCTATGTGTTTCAATGTTAGTAATTCAAAGTCCTTGGCCAAGGCAGAGATGAATGGAGATTCATACCCGGATTACTACACTTTGAAATAGAATCATAGTATTAAGTCAATTTGGGTTTCGACAAAATCATACCCAAGACTTAATCGGGAAATTAGATGTCGAAAGGATTCTACATGTATGCACTTGTAATCGGAATAGGTTTACTCGCTATTCACTTAATACTAGATTCATGCTACTTGCTAGGTGTTCCCATGATATGTGGGTTCTTGAATTAAAGGGTTAATTCATGAATAAGAGTTAATGTGATTAACTCAAATTACAAAGTGTTGTAAACCCACTACTAGTATTAAGGTGAACCTAAAAGGTCACACCTATTATGAACAAAGGTGAAAAATGTATTTCTAAAGAGTTAGAATTAATTGACAATATCTAATTTGATTAGATGTCAATTAAAGGAATATATTAATCAATAAGATTGGTTAATTACATTTTGGATATTACTTTAGTAATTAAGGTAATTACTAAATTAATATATTGGAATTTAAAATTGGATTTTAAATTTCCAAACCAAAATAATAATAATATGATTATTATTATATGGATGAAAATTTGGAAATGAATATAATAATAAAGTCTTGGAATAGATTCTCAAGATTTATTATTCTATTATCTTTAAATATGATTTAAGGATTAAAATTATAATTATGAATATAATAGATGGTGGTTGATGGTGGTTATGAACAACCTCACATTGTTTATTATATATAAAGTCAAAAGTTAGTAATTGTATTTAAATAAAATTAGATTTTATTTAAATATTACTAAATATTGATTATTTTATGCTAAAATGTTTAGTATAAATATATGCAAAATGGTTTTGCATTAGTATTGGATTCATTCCTAAAATTTCTAAGTGTTAGAAAGAAGAAAGAGTTCTTCATAAACATCAAGAAAGAGTTCTTGATATTTCCAAATAAAATCCATACATATTCCTATACGAGAAAACCGAGTCATTCCTACTAGCGAAGGAAAGTCGTCGGAACCGGGCTTCATAGGGTGGATAAGTTTAGAGGGAAGACATTTGGATTCGTAAAGTGAGTAACCCCAATCCATTGAAGTTATCAAACCGGGAACCGATTCCCACAATCCACATCGTCGTTGAAGGAGTTCAAGACATTCGGTAAATACTTAATATTTGTATTTACTTTATTATAACAAATCAAAATTTGTATGTGATGCATGTTTTAAAGATGACGATCAGTTAATTCGCAATTAGTATGTACGGGTGTTATATTTATAAGATAAATACTTACTTTAAAAATTTTAAATTCCGCTGCTTGAAGCCCGTACGGTACTAGCGAACCCAACAATTTCGTCCAAGTCCCTCCCATTAAGATAAAAGACGAGAGGAAAAATTCAAGAACACACAAAATCCCGAATGCACACTTGTGTTTATTTTCAAATTCTAGACATCAACTCCTGCTACCAACCACATTATATCACTCTTACCCCATTCTAAACTTCCCATAAAAGTGTTTTAAGGCATTAAACTCAAGAAAATTCGAAGAGAACAAGCCACAAAGCCGCAGCAACAAGAACCAAGCGAAAACCGAGAACACCGAGCTTCCTTTGCATTTTTGAGAAGTTTTCAAGGTTAGTTTGCTAAATACTTTTTAGGACTTGTTATTCATGATATGAGGATGAGAATTATGTGTTTTGATGACTTATAGGTTCAGTTTTTGAGTAGTTATAAGCATGCAAAATGTTAAAGTTGTTTCAGCTCACCCGCATGTTGTTTATGTGATGTTTGCTTGCGGTTTTACCTGTGCTATGCCAAACCTTCTATTGTGAGACTTACATATCTATTTCTTGTGGAAGAGAGGAGTTCATAGGATCAAGAAGTAGGTCAATTGGCTTAGTATAACTCGAGTTCTTGATTTTTAAAGTTAAACATGCAAGATGAACTTTACATGCGTGAATTTCAGTTGCGATTTCAAACGCGTAGAACTCGAGTTATACTCAGGATAAAACTATGAAATTTTATGGACATGTTTATATATTAGTTGAGAGCCTCCATACCAAATTTAATGATTTTATCATAAGAAATGATGGAGTTATAATGTTTAGATCGCATGAGTGTCGAACTAATTTTATGTGCAAGAGTACTCTGTCCACATGCAAGCTATGAATGCAAAACTTTTATGTAAAATTCTCTTATGAGTGGTGAATATTGTGACCGAGTTTGAGCTTAAAATGTTTATCATGTGATTTTAAAAAATTATTGCAATATGCACATGTATATAACTGAATTTCATGTTATGCTTAAGTCATGAGTTTAATAAGCAGATGAAGTCTTATTGACATGAAATTTGGACAGAAAGTACATGTCTATGTCTACTATTTAACTACCAAGTTTCGTGATTTTTGGAGACTTGTGTGAATTTTAAAAATTCATGAGGTTAAGAGCTCAATTATGTTCGGTTTAAATTTTAGATAAATGTAAAATCTTGATTTAATTGAGCTTCATGAGTAGACATGGCTTAGTATAAGTTAAGTGGCCAGAGAGGGTCACCTCCCCGCTCTGACCGGCAAGTAGCCAGTGCCGCACGATCAGCGTGCGCGCGTGCCGCCCGGACCGAGCCTAGGTCACCAGTCGAACTCGAGCCAGTTCGGTAAGCGGACCGATTCAACTAAGTTATACCGGTTGGTTCAAACCAAATTAAGATAGACTGATAAATTCAGTTTTCAGGATTTAGTCAGAATTTATCCGGAAATGCTACATCAGTCCAGTCGAGCAGAAGAGCAAGTCCAGTTTACTTGTTTACGTGATCTTATTTGTTTTATCTGTTTTGTTATGTATGCATGTAATTATTTATCTGTAATCTGCCTTATCTGCCTGCCTGCTTATCTGTTATAATAAAAAATGACCATTTCAGATTAAGTTTAGCAGTCAAGAAAAATACTTAGATTATTTTGCTTGTATATGTTTGGTAGCTTGAGGAGAGTCGAGTCTTCAACAGCTACCCAGATTTTCCAGCACTTGCGTAGTCCTTTTCAGCATAACAGGTGGGGGTCATGTACTGGATTCAACATCATGTATAATATCTGTACCATGGCAGAGGTATGTTCGAGACATTTAGTTTCTCCCAGGTGGAGGCCGAGGGCCTTAATATCCCATCTTGGGACCCGGTGGAGGCCAAGGGCCTTAATATCCCATCGGGGTGTGCACACGAGCGGCCGAGGGCCGAGGGTCTTTTGACCACAGTAAAGCAAGAAAAGAAAAGTTTACAGTTTAAGCTTTACTACAAAAGGACACGTGTATTGGTGACGATGCCACTTGATATCATGGGGCCCGCTTCATCTTTATCTATACCGAGCGTCTCGAGTTTTGACGGAGGCTGACTTCGGATTTTACCGTCCCCAAGCCACGTCACCATAGCCCGGGCCGACTTCAATTGACGGGGCCCCGAGCAGCCACCATGTCCGATTTCATCTCAAAACAAGGACTTCAACCGAGGATCGCATTATCGGCATCCAAATTAATTAAGTCGAAATCTTAGGGCCTTTCACCTGCAATAGCCACGATTTCAGACAGATTGCAATTCATATTCGTCGAGGTCCGACTTCGCTGTTGTTGATACCGCCGACTTTACAGCTCAAATTTGTCGAGACCCGACCTCCCTGATGGGCCGATCTCTTCATTATTGGGCCGATCTCTTCATTATTGGGCCCGACTTTGATAATGGGCCGACCTCTTCAACGTAGAACCGACTTCACTTTAAGAAAGACCGGACTCATTCCAGCCCGAGGCTCGATTTACCGAGATCCCAACATAACCGACAAGCGCGACCTCGGTTACCAGCCAGCACCTCGGATGTCGGGAATCAGAGTCGGACCGACGTCACTTCCTCAAAACTGACATCGGCAACAACCAACCTCAATCGTCGTCACCGGCCAACCTCAATTAACGGCCGGTACAAGCTCGGATATCAGAAAGCGCATTCAGATCGACATTGCCCTCAAACCGACTTCGACATCCTTAAACCGATTTTTGTATATCCGACATCATAATAACCGAGACCGACTTCACGAGTCAATATCATCACCAATTTTCGACTTCAGTCACCCGGGCCCGACATCACCGTCGGACCGACTTTGCGAGACAAGCCCGAAAGAAATAAGGCTCAAGCCCGACCTCTGTAATACAAATCCCGACCCAGATAGTCCGACCTCACAACAAACCGAGATCCGACCTCCTCAGTCAACGACTTCAATCGCACTGGCCGACTTCCATCTCGGTGGCGAACCTAACTTCATAACCGAGATCCCGATCTCTCTGTCAGAACCAAGTTTGTGACCCCCGGTCACGACCGACCTTCAATTCACTCCTCCGAGGCCCAATCACAATCACGACCGACCTCCGAATTTCGCCACTGAGAGGCTAAACTCTCCGATCTCGCTATCATCGAGTCCAATTTTATTTTTCCGAGTCCGCTGCTATCGGGTCCAGATTTCATCTCTCCGACCTCACTTTTCTGAATTCAAAATCGGTCGTCACCACCATCACAAAAAAAAAAGAAAAAAAGAGAGGAGAATCGCAGTGGCCTGGAAGCGAACGAAAGAGAGAGAGAGAGATCAAACCTGATTAAATATAATCAAAATGGGCCTATACAAAAAGTAGCCCAAGATACAAATCAAGTTGGACATGCACTCTTTTGGCAAAGCCCGAGATGAATAGCCTACAATGTTAACGAGAGGTTTGCAGTAATATTAAAGGTTGTTGAACCATTTAATGATTGTATCCAAGTGAGCTCTCTCGGACCGACACTCTAAGGACTGTCAAAGAAATATCCAGCTACTCGTTTTCCCATTTATGTATACAACCACGTGGGATCGAGTCCTTATAAGTTCACACCAACGACAGCGGGGGCCGAGTTTATATGTTCATACTGACGTTTTCGGAGTCGAATTCATTTATTTATACTAAGGCTGAATTCATTTATCAACGTCGGAGCTGAAATCATTTACTAACGATGAGGCCGAATTTATTTACCCAAAGTCGTCTTCGAATTTATTTATCGATACTGGGGCTGACTTCATTTATCTACGCTAAAGCCGAAGTCACTCGTCTATTTGTGACGTCTTATTAATTCTCGCCGTGAGCCACGACTCTGGCTGAGCCGACTTCTCACTATTGCTCGCCGTGAGCCACGACTCCGGCTGAGCCGACGTCCTATTATTGCTCGCCGTGAGCCACGACTCCGGTTGAGCTGACGTCTCATTATCGCTCGCCGTGAGCCACGACTCTGGCTGAGCCGACGTCTTATTAGTGCTCGCCGTTGAGCCTTGACTCCGGCAGAGCTGGCATTTATATTTGCTCGCCGTTGAGCCTCGACTCCGGCAGAGCTAATATTTATACTTGCTTGCCGTTGAGCCACGACTCCGGCAGAGCTGACATTTACCTTTGCTTGCTGTTGAGCCTCTGCTCTGGCTGCGCCCATACTGGTTAGGCAAAGTCAATAAGACCTTTTCGGCTGGGCAACATTAAAATACGTCGGCGCAATAAAAAGTCGAATCTTGAAATATAATTCGACTAGCCGACTCTTAGTATATTTTAGTCGGAAATAAAAATTGCCGACGTTCCTCTAAAAATTCAGCGAGTAAAATAAAATGCTGAATATTTTAGTCGAAAATAAAAATTGCCGACGTTCCTTTATAAATTCAGCGAGATAAATTATATGCTGAATATTTTAGTCGAAAACAAAAAATACCGACGTTCCTACATATACAATATTCTGGTAAGGAAGAGCACCTACCGGCAGATAAAGTCAGACTCGACAAAATATCGAGGTAACATCATTTTTCGTGCGTTCATCATTTATTTCACGAGATCATCATGTCTTCACACATTCATACATACATTCATATGTGCGTCATACATACATCTTGACATGAAACATAAAAAGTCAAGCAAAAAAAATCCTTAAGGACCCATGCTGGTGAGGTGCAATGTAAAACCTTACTGGCAGGGATCATTAAATTCCTTAAGGACCCACACTGGTTAGGCAAAGTCAATAAGACCTTTCCGACTGGAAAAAATATAAAAAGAAAATTTTACACCGAGTTCTTTATCTCGGTAAAATAAAATAAAAATAATTCGGCTAACCAACGTTGGTACAGTGAAAAGGCCGAATCTCGAAAAATCATTCGGCTAACCGATGTCGGCACAGTAAAAAAGCCGAATCTAAATGAAAAAATAAAAAAAAATCTTTTCCAAACCCTGAAGTTGGTTTGGCAAGGCTAACGCCTTACATATTACATCAAAGATCGGGAACACACTGCCCGACCGAAAAATAAAAACAAAAATAATTTGGCTAGCCGACTTTGGTACAGTAAAAAGGCCGAATCTCGAAAAAATTATTCGGCTAACCGATGTCGGCGCAATAAAAAAGCCGAATCTAAATAAAATAAAATAAAAATCATTCGGCTAACCGATGTCGGCGCAGTAAAAAAGCCGAATCTAAATAATTAAATAAAAATAAAAGACCGAAGACCGGATACCGAATTATCCGACCAGGTCCACATAAAGAAAAACAAATACAAACCAAACAAAATATCGCGTCGTCTTAATACGACAGAATCGCGAATCCGGTAACAATTCTGGGGGCTCGAGTGCCCACATAATTCCATATCATTATTACCACATCAAACGCTTCGCGTTCCACGCAAAAAACGCAAAATATGGGTACCAAATTACCCGACTAGGCCATCCAGGCCTCATTCAAAATTCCAAAAAAAATTGACTATCCACGTCATTGGCTCCACGGGTCCCAAAGTACCCGGCCAACATTGATTACGGCCAAAATTGATTATACACGCGATTTCAGAACAGTTCTATTCAAAACATGCCCTAAAATCGGAGGCCTACTGTTGATACCAAATTTTGGCCTACCCTATTAAAATATTACACGTGGATATGTATTATATCAATTATTTTATTTTTGGGCCTTAAATAATATCGCTTGTGATAATATCAGGCCCATTAAACATATATATAAATACCCCGATGATGGACATCATCGAGATAAGTCTGAGGGGCGTATTATTATTTTCTCTCTCTATCTGGAAAAAGGGAGGCGGTGCAGGAAGTCATCTTCCTCCTCCCTCATCTTTAATATTTTCTGGGTCCATTTTTGTGACAGAAATTCATCAAATAATCACCAAAAATTGTATATAAAAAAATACACAATAAATTCATCTGAACCCCCTATGTTGATCAAATTTCGTGCATCAACAATAATAATAATAATTATTAATTTAATATATATTTCCATTTAGTTTTATTTTTATTTGTGAAAAAAGTTCAATCAATTTGGTTCATTTATTAATATCAAATTATTAATCAATATTGTGTGATCTTAAATTTTTAAAAATTGCAATTTGAACCTATGATTTAAATTAAGATTAATTATTTTTCTTAATTTGCAAATAGGTCCCTTTGACCTATCTAATTTCCAAATTCAAGTACCCCAACTCACTTCCCACGCAGCTTCTTCATTCATCACCCAAACCGGCGTTGCTGCCTTTCCAAGCGACCGTCGTACATATGCTAATCACCGTCAGATGATACCGGAGATGGCAGCCTCAAAATCGGAACATACTTAAATTGATTACTGAAATTGAACTTTGGGGATTATAGTTTGGGGCTCGATTTTTATTGACGGAGACATCGAGTCGATACACAGAGTGGAGGAGATCGAGATGAAAATGATGTCTACGACAATGGCAGGACAAGGTCGGACTCCGGCGACGTCAGTCGGTGGATCGACGAAATCGACGGAGAAGTTGTTCGTCGGCGGCTCGGGATTCTATCAGAGTGGCATAAAATGTGACAGAGAGAGGGGGATAACGACAGAGTCAACAAACGGAGGCTTTCGGCGGCGACTGACGACGGCGGCGACGAACATGCACAATAATATGTTTTTCATATTATAACAAAATCAATCACTTCTACTATTTATAGTGTTTCGGTTATCCGATCCAATAAACCGATTATTTCAGTTCATAATTAATTTACATTGTGACCAAATTAAAAAAAACTGTACGTATTGTGAGTGAAGAAAATTGTCAAACTAATTGAAGATTAATGACTATCAGATTGCACGATAGTGACCGAAGTCAAATGAACTAAATTTTTCTATTGAACTTTTATATATCCGGATCCGATTATTTATTTTTACTGTTAAAACCTCGGTTATTTTGGTTTGATATCGGGGTTTTTTTTTTTGTTTAAATTATGCACTTTTAAAATTTTAGTTTAATATTAGCTTTATTTATTTATTTAAATTATGCAATTTTAAATTTGTAAACGGACGCAATATAATTTCGTAAAAAATATCATGTGATTTTTTATTGTGCATGTTCTCGGACAATATTGTGCATCTTATTCATCATTATCGACTCCATCAGCCTTGTCGTCAACCACTGTGAATCTGCTCATCTTCACAACGTCCGACCCCGATTCCAGCAACACCATCTCCAACTGCAATTGTAGATCTCGTTGCCGACAAAGCCTTCTCAACGTCACCACATCATCATCGTTCAAAACTTCTTCGCCCCGCCCCTGCGACAATGGAGCTTCCAGAACACGGCGAAGAGACCACCGCTGGACAGTTGCTTCGAACAACCTATACGCCGAAAAATAAAAAATTGATCACGGCGATGTCGTGGTGGCGGAGGCGGCGAATCTCATGATGATTCCGGTGGCAACGGGACAGTCGGCGGCCAGATTCATGGAGATTCCGGCATGGCTCAATGTTCGATGCAGGGACCGTCAGAGATGATGGCGGCGGCGGGCCATGGAGAGGACGACGGACGGTCGGCGATGATGGCAGCGGTGACGGGAGTGTTAGCGTGACCTGTGGCTGCGCCGCGCCGGTGGGCTTAGTTCGTGTGTGTGTTCCGATTGTGTGTGTGTGTGTGTGTGTGTGTTTTTATGAAAAATTAGTGCGTGATGTTTGTGAGAGAGGGCAGAGGTGTAGGTGTAAATTCAGTGTGTGTTGTGCGTGAGAGAGGAGAGATGGGGTAGGTGATGATTAGGTTGGTGGAGGATGGTGGATGTGGGTTCCACTTAGTTGGCATTATTTATTGTGACATATTTACCCTTGATTAGTGGTCAAATACATATATTTGACCATAATATTACTACTTATTTACTATATTGCCATTAATGATTGACCATTATTTATTAAAGTTTGACTTGATCATGACCATTGATGGGATGAATCCAATGATCCATGATCATTCTTATTTCTTTCATTGTGCTTCATTCTCATTTGAGCGCATATATATATATATATATATATATATATATATATATATATATATATATATGGCCGCGCTCCGGTGAGAATGGTTCTCAATGAGAGAAATAAGAATACATCCTAACCATTAGATCCGACAATTTAACGGCACAAAAAATGTCAATTTATTAAACTCATTAAGGTAAAATCAGTAATTAATACCTATGTAATGCCCCGTTTAATTATAGATTATTTGGGATATATTCATCATTATTGTTATTATTATAATTATTATTATTATTATTATTTGAATGTGTAAATATTATTTATTTGTCAAATTGTAATTAAATGCCTAAATGTCTGATATGGGATATTATATGCCTAAAGGATAGACCGGTTTACCACGTCGGTCGGGCGAGCTCGATGTCGGGAAGACTGTATTGGTCGAGCGATAATCGACCAATAGGGAAATGATCGAGTAGGATAGTAGATCTGGTCGATGATCGACCTAGCGAAGGGGGACTCGGTCAGATCGAGCACCCAACAGGTGAAGAGAAATTGAGGGCGTGGCTTGAACGCGAGAAAGCGCGAGGACTTCGTCAGAAGATCCTAATGGAATGTGTAGAGAATAATCTCCCTCTGCTCAGAGGGACTCGTGGCGAGAGTACATTAGTGCAGAGTAATAGTGGCGATAACCACCTCTGACACCTCTGAAACACGAACACTGTGTATGTACGGACGTGCAGCGCGGGTAGGACAACTCACCAAAATCTGGGCAGCTCTTAGGGCAGGTATCTCACTCCTATATATATAGGAGTGAGCCCTTTCTTGTGACTTACGATTTATCCATATTCTTACTTTGGAGAATTGAGTAAAACACATACTTACTTAATCATCGGAGGCTCTTCACCGGAAAAACCCCCGGTGTGAGAGTTCTTTGCAGGTACGCGGCGTTCTACCGGCGAGGAGAAGGAAGACGAGCTGATTTCAAGCCGGTCAGAATGTTTGCGTTACCATTTGGCGCCGTCTGTTGGAAACCTTTCACGAAAATGATGTAATAGAATTCTCAGTTCTTGATTAATGAAACTCCAGTTGCAATTTTCAATACCTTGCCTAATTGCTGCTTTATTCTATTGTGCATATGCGGTGTCTTATAATCACTGGCTGGTCGAAGACAAAAATCCATCATGATTAAGGCCAAAAGGCTGGATGGTCGCATGTAACGACCACCCCTTTGAGGGTGGACATGTGCTCGAAGACAAAAAATCCATCATGATTAAGGCCGAGAGGCTGGATGGCATGTAATGACCACTCCTTTGAGGGTGGACATATGTTCGAAGAAAAAATTCATCATGATTAAGGCCAAGAGGCTGGATGGTCGCATTTAACGACCACCCCTTTGAGAGTGGACATGTGCTCAAAGACAAACAATCCATCATGACTAAGGCCNCTGATTGGACGTATTCTACTTGTAAATACGATCTATTGGAATTATATTGTAAATAAGGCATTACTTTATCTTAAGAGTAAGCATTTATTTTATATTTTGAGGGTGGACATGTGCTCGAAGACAAAAAATCCATCATGATTAAGGCCGAGAGGCTGGATGGTCGCATGTAACGACTACCCCTTTGAGGGTGGACATGTGCTCGAAGACAAAAAATCCATCATGATTAAGGCCGAGAGGCTGGATGGTCGCATGTAACTACCACCCCTTTGAGGGTGGACATGTGCTCGAAGACAAAAATTCCATCATGATTAAGGCCGAGAGGCTAGATGGTCGCATGTAACGACCACCAGTTTGAGGGTAGACATGTGCTCGAAGACAAAAAATCTATCATGATTAAGGTCGAGTGGCTGGATGGTCGCATGTCACGACCACCCATTTTAGGGTGGACATGTGCTCGAATACAAAAAATCCATCATGATTAAGGCCGAGAGGTTGGATGGTCGCATAACGACCACCCCTTTGAGGCCGAGAGGCTGGATGGTCGCATGTAACGACCACCCCTTTGAGGGTGGACATGTGCTCGAAGACAAAAAATCCATCATGATTAAGGCCGAGAGGCTAGATGGTCGCATGTAACGACCACCAGTTTGAGGGTGGACATGTGCTCGAAGACAAAAAATCTATCATGATTAAGGTCGAGTGGCTGGATGGTCGCATGTCACGACCACCCATTTTAGGGTGGACATGTGCTCGAAGACAAAAAATCCATCATGATTGAGGCCGAGAGGCTGGATGGTCGCATGTAACGACCACCCCTTTGAGGGTGGACATGTGTTCGAAGACAAAAAATTCATCATGATTAAGGCCGAGAGGCTGGATGGTCGCATGTAACTACNCAAAAAATCCATCATGATTAAGGCCGGGAGGCTGGATGGTCGCATGTATCGACCACCCCTTTGAGGGTGGACATGTGCTCGAAGACAAAAAATCCATCATGATTAAGGCCGAGAGGCTGGATGGTCGCATGTATCGACCACCCCTTTGAGGGTGGACATGTGCTCGAAGACAAAAAATCCATCATGACTAAGGCCGAGAGGCTGGATGGTCGCATGTAACGACCACCCCTTTGAGGGTGGACATGTGTTCGCGGAAAAAATCTATCACGATCAAGACCGAAAGGCCGGATAGTCGCGTGAAATGAATACCCGTTCAAGGGTGAATAGGTGTAATGATATTTAATTCATTAAGATTGTCGCGGAAATTATGATTAATCTAGAAGATAAAAACGGAGTGATTATGGTTGGTTCACATGACATCGACATGTAGTAACGGCACGTGCTCGTCGATAACTAAATCGGATGCTTTAACAAAGGCATTGACAAGAAAATTACACATGCTTCAAATCTTATAGTATTCATTCAACAAGACAAAGCTCGCTCAGATGAACAAATACAAAAAAGAATAAAGATACAACAAAATCAAGAAGGGGCATCATTTGGATCCTGAGTGGTTTGTGTAGCATTGGCACCATTGTCAGCAGAAGTCTGCTCGAGCTGCTGCGCCGATCCAGTGGGCTGGCTCGAGCCGGAGGCAGACCCAGT